ACCCATAACGTGCACCACCAACACCACCCACCACCCCCATCTTCTACCCCTGGTATAGTACACCTCCAGCACCCCTTGCCTTCATACCCCCCAACTCCAATGTCAGGCAACAAAAATTGTAGGGACGCCCCTGACTATATACTATGAAGTGAAATCTGTCTGACTACTAGAGGGTATTGTGTGCTTTACAGCCCTTGGACAATACACTGATTAAGGAACAAAATACATGTAAATAGATATTTTACTTTAAAAATGCATAAGCTGAAATTTTATATTAACACATTTAGCTACCAGTTATCACATATCAACTAGACTTACCACTGTGTACAGTAATTACTAGGGCTTTTATTGTCTGACATATCATCTGCGAGAGGTAAGCCATTGCTATGCTTCAGGACAATGTAATTCTTCCTCGCAATATAGCCCTTGAAAGCTATAAGGAACAAGCAAAAAAAGAGAATTACTGTTACTGCCGTGGAGCTACCTACTACTATCTGTTGTAACTCTACCGTTCGCTTTATTTTGTAAAGTGCTGCCCAAACTGTTGCTGCTATATAAATCCTGTATAATAATGACAACAATAAAGCAGTTTGCAAGTACAATATGTAAAAAAAAAAAAAAAAAAAAAAAATTCACTTGTGCGTGCTTGTTTTATAGCTAAACGTCAGGCAGATACAAATTAATGTAGCTCTGCATTCATTACTATATCCTTAAATGTATTCTTAAATGCAATGAGTGTAAGTAACTCAATTTGACGTAGTATTTGATTCTTACAATCACCTGTACATCAGCACTCAGACTGGGAGGGGGAGAAGCAGTATAAGGAGCCAGTCAGCTGTGCTCTTGTGCTAACAAGGAGCATGTTGATAGATAGAATGAGCAGAGTGCCAGAGAGATGAGCTAATCGGCTTTCTACTTCTCCTTTCATTAAAGTCAGTTAAAGAGGAGACAGTGGCAGTTACAGGGAGAGAAAAAAAGCGCAGCATACAAAAATAGAAAATATGAAAACTGAACAAATAAATGTATTCAATAAGTAGGAAAACAAAGCATCCCCTTTAAAACAATGGGCAGAGTCTTAGAAACACATACAGAGAAATCAATGTCCTCTAGCTGAATGAGCAAAGGGCATGACACCCACCAGACCCAGATTTAAAAGAGCAAAACTGGGGAACCATACAAACAAAAATGTATATATAGCAGAATAGACAATAGAGTATAGAACCACTCACTATAAATACAACAAATCTTTATTGTATGAAAAAATTTAAATAAGTAAAACAGTCCCTGATGTGTGTAGAAGGAAGCCCCCTAATTATCAGTTAGTTCAATACTCTGTATATATCTATATGTGTACATGTATCCAGCTGAGATAATATGTGAATTTAAGTTATGCTAGAAAGGATATAATTGTCTTGTAGACTGCCTATCCCTCTATGTGTCTTTTTCTTTGGCCAGTTAATGGGTGAATAGGCATGCTGACCTTATCTTGGTGCTGTACTGAGTAAGCATGATGATGATCATACTTATATTTTCTACCTCATGGTGATCTACTGTACATGAACGAGACATTCACTCCCTGACCTCTTGCCGATAAAGATGGGGTGGGAAACCCATACTCCTAAAACGAGGGAAAGAGAACCTGTTGCATGTTTAGCAATGAAGGACTAAATAGGTAAAGAGTTCAGAGGACCTTTTTAATATGTCTCACTTTAAGCCATTACTGTGGAAAAATCTGCCCATCTATAGCTGGTTAAGACAGAGGTGAATATATGCCCCTTTGTTAAATATGACAAAATATATATTCCACTTAATTAAACTTTAGTAGCCCGAGCACTGCATAAAACTCATGAAGGATGCTGCACTAGATATAAGGAAAGCTCTGCTCAAATTTTGCACCAGGGCTCTGTGGTTTTCGGTTATGTCTCTAAACAGCAATAATCTTATACAATCATGCTACAACTATCATATGATTGGCTAAATTTCCCTGTCTTTAGCAGTTCAGAGGGTGATGAGAGCTGTAATTTAGTAAAACCCAATCTCCCAAAAATGGTCTACAGTTGATTTAGATAATTAAAAAAAAAAAGGTCAGAACAATTCCCTCTACTGTAATAAAGGAGCAAACACCTGAAACTGCAGTGTATGGTATAAATTGCTAGGCACTTCTAACTTGGAGCTTTCACATTTAGCTCATTCACTGTGAAATTAACAGGCAGTGTTGGTAGCACTCCATGAATGATCCATTAGCAGTTACAATATGGGAATTATCTACAAGCAGATGCTCATCAGATATATTTTATGTACTACTTTAATCATCATTGCAAGGAGATTTGACACAGCATATCAGATTCTGATTGATTATTGGCTCTTCTGTATTAAATATAGAGAGTATAGTACTTTCTCTGGATTTCTAAATTAACCAATGTTAACCTATTTCACATTAAACTCATTTTAAAATGTTGTTTTTTTTAAAACTGAGATAGTTTACTAGTGAGAAAACATGCTTTGTCATGAGGTAAAAGTCATTGGACTAAAAGTTTTGGGTGAGATTGAATAATCCCCTTCTCGAATTTTATCTGGGAGGACAATGTGCCCAGATTATCCGATTACTGGCAAAAATGAGGCATGTGTGGTTGGGTGCAGGGGTGCAGTATAGCAAGTCCTGGATGAAAAACAGTGCCCAGTCCCTACATTATGTATTTTAAATGTAAATGTTGCAATGCACTTTCAAAGAACTTTAAATCTAAGAATTACTCTCTTTGAATACAACCACATACCATAATTCCAACGCATCACCCTAAAAATGACCAACAATTTCTCAAGGGGGGACCCAGCAGACCATATCACTAGCAATAACATTTTAGTTGGCCAGAAACATTTCTTGGATTAAAAGTGTGTGAAGGAAGCATTGCCTGTGTTTTGCTTATAAAAACTGATCTGGAGCAGCAAGTGGAAGAGTCTGATTGGTCATGTAAAGCCTAATTTATTTTATTTATTTTATTCTGGCATGGATGATTAGCTGGTCCTTCAGGGTGTTAATGATCATGCACTGCCTGGTATGTGCTTGCAGACCACATAAGATAACCCTCTTTGAAATATATACCTTGTTTTACATTAATTTGTACTTTTTTTTAATAATCAGAGTGAACCTGTGTTCACTGGGTATTCACAGGCATTAATGCAAGTTATTGGTTGTGGTAATAAAATGTAAAAAGTGCCCCCGTGTTTGCGCTCCCCACTTACTCACATACCTACAGAAATTACTAGAGGGGAGCTCAACTGCAATGAGGTTACAACATCATAAACTGCAGAATGTGGATACTTATTTTTTTTTTCTACTTTCTCCTAAATATTTATTTCACAAAGATTTTATTGGGTTTTTTGTTGTTTTTTTTGTATGCAGAATACAAAGATAACAAAATCAAGGCTTGCAAGCCATGTGGCAAGTAATAATACAGAAACCACACATTCCTAGTGCGGCGCAGAGCACAACAAGGTACTGTGGGTCACTTCTTTTTTTTAATGATCAGAATTGCGGTTTGGACAAAGTAAGCTTTATTAAAGACAAGCTCTTTAATAAAGCTTACTGTATTTCAAAGATGATCTAGCAGGTGTGTAGGTGGGCCTTCTCTATGGAAATACAATAACACCAATGCAGCATACACTGTCAATTCTAATTCACTGAATTTCTGTTTGTCAGTGTGGAACATCAGCTATCACTATTTGTATGTATATTTCCATACCCATAGGGAATGTTGCCTCAGCTAGATTATCTCTCCAAGTCTTTCTTGTCTTCCCTACTTGATCAATGGGTTGTGCAGTACATAAGCCCACTGAGATCTCTCGACCACCAGCTCATGTATTTGAAAGGCGTCTGTTTATTTTTAAAATGCAAATTTCTCATACCCCCGAAGACTTGCTGAGAGAAAAAAAAAAGAACAATCTCTTAAGTTGAAGGGGTTTCCATCAGGGGGCTGCTTTTCTGTTTTCTACTAGACTAAGATCAATCGCTGTCAGAACCACTTAGATAATATTGCACAATCAAAATTAATCACATCTGTAATTAAAGCAGGTCATGTCTGTCTTAGGATATCTGCAACTTATGTTTTTTTTTACATTTAAAAGTAATATTGATAATGTTATTGTAGCATTGCAAGAAACGCAGCTTTCAAATGTTGGTGGGACCACAAGCCTGGAGAATTGCCATTGATAACAATTAAGATTGGCCCCAAAACTAACCTCTCTCCCTCAGCAGCAAATTCCGGTGGAGAGGAGGCCCAATAAGGTTAATACCCCTACTTTGATCTCTGTCAAGGCATACTAGCAAGAATTAATTTACATTTTAGATGAAAAAAAAAGTTGACAGCATGAAAAGGCATCTTGTTCCTGGTATGTGAATGCCCAGCAATAGATTGGGAATTCTAAAAAGGAAGTTCTGAGGAGGCTAAAAGGATAAGCCCCCACTGCTGATTTTACTGGGAAAGAGATGAAAGAGAAACAAATTTCAATATGAGCGGGGCTGTAGAAACATGTAAGCCAAATGTTTCCTAAATTCTAAGAATGGGCCGAGATATCCGTGGCGTTCAGCCCTCTCGCTGTCATTCGCATTGAGACTAAAAAGTAAATAATAAAATGTAAACTTCAACTGCTGATGCTAAATTCCATTTCTACGGCTGTTTCAGATCTTACAAGCGGTACTAAGGCTGAATGTTTATCTTTCAGCCACGTGACATAGTTAGACCACTGCAACGAAGGAGTGTCATATAAGTTTTACTTCCTATCCTGAATGGTATCCAACTTTTTCTAGACCAGCAGTTTCCAACCATTTTCAGTCACAGAGCCCTTGAAAACTATGCAGAATCTTGAGGCACCCCAGTCTAAAATGTAAGTGGGGACCCCAAGCAAAAACACATGATAGAGTGGGGTTCCATCCTTTGCATCGAGGTCCTCCATTCAAATCAAGAGCCCTCCTTCACCTCAAAGCTCCCCTTTCACACCAGAATTCTCCCTTGACATCAGAGTCCCCCTTTACATTGTAAACCCCCTCCTTTTACATCAGAGCCCCCTCCTATTACATCAGAAGCTCCTCTTCACATCAGAAGGCCCCCTTCACATTATAAGCCCCCCTTACATCAGGAGCCCCTCCCCTCTCTCATCAGAAACCCGTTTATATGAGAGCCTCCCTTTCATATCAGAATCCCTCCTGTTACATCAGAGTTCCTCATTCACATCAGAATCCTACCATCACATAATTTTGAGGCACCCCTGAGGGATCACCCTGGTTGACAAAGGCTGTTCTAGACTAAATCATTTACTTAAACTTAATATTATTATTTTTTTTTTGTAAAGCAAAATAGCCTGCCTGGCTATTGATGAGGTTGGTTTTAGTATACAAGCCTATTATAATGAACTATTCAGCAACTACATTGTTTTTCCAAGCAGAATATTTTATTCTTTTGACATATTAGATAATACTTTCTGTAAATTCTCTTATCAGGGATAGAAAGCAGTATCCAGATAAGTATTCAAAAGGTACCACATCCTACATGAATTAATAGACGAATCAAAGAAAAGAAGTGATTAATATCTTCTTTTCTTGGGTTGCACAAAATGTAGTTGATTTATTAAAGCAGTAGAGGCCATTCACCCCACAAAGTGAATGGTAAGCTGGACATACACTGGTAGGCAGACCTGCATTTTACAGTTGATTAAGAAATTGGGGGCCATGGCGTGGAAACTGCGGTGCCCCACGGAGTTCTGTCTGCTTAGGACAGCAGAGAGAATCCTGTGATTCAATCAATAGTGCTCTGATAGCTCTAGACTCCCAAATGTGTCGGATTGCAAAGCGCATCTATAAAGCACATTGCTGTGATTTATTAATGTGTGATGTTTGTTTGGTACAACCATACCACTACTTTTTTAAATATGCCCCTTAGTGAAACATTCACAGGGCTATTCACTAAAGGGCGAGGGAAGGAGAAGTTAAAAATCTAGGCAAAATCTAGGCAAAATTCTTCAATTCAGATCACTTTCCAGTTCAGCGATGTTGGCCTAGATTGAAGAATATTTTTTATAGAACAAAATGATAGAATTTTCCTCTTGGACCCCTAATGCACTCGCCTCAGGCAGTACTGACTGTACTTGATGCGCTGTGTTCCTGGCTGCATCGTCTGGGATCTGACAGACTGAACCCTGAGTTAAACTGGAAGTGCTGTATGAGCCTACATGGCAGTCCGAAGTCAGTCGTGGCATTGGCAGCTGCAATTTTGTTCACATCCCAATGCTATCATGCTGTAATACTTATGGGGACGGCAGTAAAAGGGTTAAAACACCCATTCACTGACCTATGTAGCTGCAGGTATTGTGGAGGAATGAATCCATAAAATTCACATAAGAAGCACTGAAGTCAGTTCTCTAAGCAGCTTAGCTCACCCTGCTCCTCTTCCCAGAGTGCCTGAGATTACATAAGGATTAAAAGGCTGAAATGCGGCTGTGTTACTGCTGGGAGTTGGGAGCAGGGTGAGCTGAGCTCCTGAGCGAACAATTTAAATGACCTTTTGCTTCTGCTGTTACCGTTAAGGATGAGTTGCTCCACAGTGGCAGCAGCTACTGAAGTCATTGAGGGCATGTTGTAAAGCTTGTTAACAATATGTACATTCTTGAATACTCATAGCCTGGTCTTTAGGTCACTTTACAGTTGAAGGCATCAGACACCCTATCAATTCCCTTTCCATTCATTTGCATTTTTCATGTTTGCTGGTAGGTAGATAGATACCAATAATCATAGATAGAAAATCTTCATCTTTGCAACTCGATGCTACATGGAACATATATTGTGTATCTCTGTCTAGCTACACTGGCTTTGCAAGTATTTTTCAATATAGTATAAATATATACCCTGTTTCCCCGAAAGTAAGACCTACCCCGAAAATAAGACCTAGTGTCTTATTTCGTGCAAAAAAAAAAAAAAATAAGACAGTGTCTTATTTTCGGGGAAACACGGTATTACAATATAGTATAAAGTAAGCATTCTTATAATAATGAGAAACAATATAGCACAATCTGGATTTCCCTTCTTAAAGAATGACAAAGGAACTTTCCTTCTTTTACAAGATATGTGTCATCCAGGTAACTGATAATGTTAACATGTTGTGTGAACAGTATTTAATAATATGTTTCATGAACAACAAATGTCAGCATGCTTTAGCAGCCATCTTTCTGAAATGTATAGCAAAACAGATTCATCCCTGTATACATCTTTCCCCACTGCATGAAACAAGCAGCGTTCTATACAAACATTCCTTTACAGGCACCCAACAAAAGCATGTCATTGCTTTTTAAGATTCTCTCATATATTCTGCTCTGGGCACAACTTGAGCGCTGCTTCCGTTATACACAAATCCATTTCCTTAACAAGAACGAGTCACAGTAACATCCTAGTTCTCAGGCAATGAATGATAATATGTAAATTAAGTCTTCTGCTCAGTGACTCAAACACAGCGCTACATCTTCCCGTGAATGTTCCCGCTGCTGGTGGGAAATACGCTGCTGAGAAACGCGGTGTAGAACGCAGAAGTAGATGAACCATAACTGGTTGTTCATCCGAGCCATTGTGAAACATCGAGATTGCTTACGTGCAACTTTATAATGTCAGATTTCAATGTAGTGATACATTGTGTCTTCTTACAAAATAATTCCTTTTCTGAGCAGAGCAGTCTATAAATCTTTCAGAATATCTATTAACCTGCCACTTTACCAAAAGAACTTAAGTTGGCAACGAGCAATCTCACTAAAATGGACCAGCCAATCAAAATGAGATTTTTGTGTGTAGCCTCTGAATTGATTGTCTGTGGTGGAACCACATCGTAGACCTGAAGCAGGCCAGCAAACCAGGTACATTTCTAGGAGCAGAATTCTACCAGGAACAAGCTTTCCCTGAACTTTGAGGACAGTTGGGAACTATGGTATTTGGACTCAATGCTGCAAATATGGACTCCTGGGTACTAGGGTTTAATCAAATGTACATGCATAAAAATAACAGTTATGTACATTCCATTATATTCTGGTATTTAAAGAGGTTTTCTACTTTCAAAGTAGATAAGTAGGTCTGAGGCTACCACTGCTCCGAGTTGCTGGGATTTCTGAGGTCATCCTCTGAAAACTATTCATTCTCAATAGGGTTCTGAAGCTAAATTGCACAGCCCGCAGCTAAGCAGATTTGATGAGTGTGGGACATCATGGTTGGCTGGAGCAAGCCACACAGCTCTTAGAGGTGGTAGTTGCTGTTTCTCTGTTCTGTTAAAGCACAACTCCAGTCAAATATATATATTTTAGATAAAGTGTTGGGAAGGGTAAGAACTGTAGTAATTTTTTAAAATTGGTGTTTCTGTCTAACCACTGGGTTGATTTTCTTTTACTTTCTGTGTGGCCATCAAGATAGATGTGAGCCAAAATACTCTCCAACGGGGGGCATTAACATTAATAAAACTGCTTTTGTTCTTTTTTTAGTAAAATGTACAGTGGTAGGTACCTTTGTCAGTTTATTTGCCTTCCAGTTGGGATGATCTCCTCACTTCCTGTGTGTCATCTGGACAGGGAGTAAAGTGAGACTTTCCCAATAGGGGAAATAGGACCAAACGGCAATAAAAATATCCTTACTGTTAATAAAGCCATACAAAATGTCGTATTTTGATGATGGAAGTGAAAAAGCGTTGCCGATTCAGAGCAAAGTGCCCAAGTCTACAGATAACTCACTCCCGAAGTTTTTATACTTACTGATCTACACTCCCTCACCATCTTCCTGCACAGCCTTTGCTATCAGAACAGACCTTTAGAATATGAAGGATAGCATGACCTACCCCATCTGACACTGCTCAGGCCTATGAGGGGTCCTAACATTATCTTCTGTCCGAGCTCCGACACCAGTTGGCAGGGATGCTGCAGTGGGAAGGTGATCAGAGAGCATGGCTTAGCATGTATTTAAGTCTGGAAGTGGGGTGGGCAGACACTTTTCCCTGATTGTGACAGAGGGGACAATCTAAGTCCAGCTTTTCACAATGCACCTCTTCAAAAACAATTAGCACCATACACAAAGTATTGTACATTTTAACACTGCTCAATTCCATTAATATCAGAATAAAAAACATGAATGGTTGGATTGATGACTCATACTGGACACTATTTATACACTGCATTAATTTTAATTTTGTATAATATACAATCTGTTTCTTACCTTCCACTGAAAATCAAAATAGATCAGTGGATAACTTACCTATTTAGCTGCAGGAGATCCTACCTTACACTGGAATAGTAATGTGCAATGTTAAATCACTTTATTTCAGTTACCTGCTTGAATAACAGTAGCAGCCTTGTTTTTTCTGCTTCTTATTTCCTGGATTTTTTTCCGAGTGTCATATCCTCTCCATACTGGAAGATAATAAGAGCACATAGTATCCCAATGGCTTACTTTTGCAGTTCTTTTTAATTAAATTGCTGGTACATTTGCTGACACATTCACCAACTGATAAAAACATTCTCTGACATTCAATATTGGTTTTCCAATGGGAAAAGGTGGTTACTTTAAAATGTAACCTATACACGGTAAATTAGAGTGAATGTTATATTGCCTGCACATTTGCCATATATTTACTGCATACTTTATAAAGTACCATTAGACAGCAGTGAAAATGTAGTCATTCCTATCAAAAGTGGTGAACTGTGTGTTTATCATTAACATGATTATGTAAAAAAATATAAAAAATGCAAGCTCCCTCCTTCTCACAACATAGGCCTGGCACACCAGATGGCTGGATGTCCATGTCAAGGGGGCAATGGATTTATTTGCCATTTATCTGCCCCCTGTCTACTTAGAGGTAAGTGGTTGCCAACTCCGTGGTGAAATGATCTCGAATTAGTTCAGAAGAGCTTCTGGTCTCACATTTAAAGGTCCACTATAGCGAAACATAATATAAGACATTATATTTATTTATTACAGGTAAGTCATAGTTCATCTTGGAGTATTTTGTGTCGGCAGTCAAATTTTCTTCATTCCCGACACAAATTACTCCAAGATGAAATAGGTCTTATTTACTCCACCATGCCGAGGTGTTTTATCCCCCCGCCCCAACCACGATGTTGGTTGCTAAGCTGCTGATATTCCAGCACCCTAGCAACTAATGAGGCCATGTGGTGAGGTAACCAGCATCCTACCACCCAATGATGCTCAGTCACACAGTGCTCTTGGTTGCTATGATACTTTCGGCAGAGCATTATTGGTCAATAGGATCCTGTCGGCACAGCATGATTGCACGGCACACCATATCAACTACTGATGCTCTGCGACCCAAGGGCTGAACATGCACTAACGATGTAGTGTCCTGCATGGACACAGTAGCTTCAGTGTTGGCCCCCATCATGCCTCCATACAACAAATTCATATACCTTTTTCTAACAGGTACATTGATCTGCCACATGCACCAATAACTTATACCTGCTGTATGTAGTTAGCACCAGTAAAACATTATTTAGTATATGAATTCCTTTTTTTAATTACACATGCTGTTATTATTATTTTTCTTCTCATTTACAAGCAGACCACCATGTCCAACAAAACTGACAGTTACAGGAGTTGGGACAAACAATATACCACACTAACACTTCTGGGGTGCTTACAACAGTCTGCTTTATTATATCACTTAAACCTTATTTTCCAAAAACTCATTCCAGCTGAATCTTTGAAGGAATGTTTCAGTGAATCTTGTTAAATAATGGGAGTGTCCTTTCATCCATTTCCCGACAGGCTCTCCATGGTGCTGAAACTGTGTTTATGTTTCAGCACTAGGAGGGTTAAATGACATTTTTGAATGAAAAGAAGTGGCTCGCTTCCCTGAGCTAACCAGACTGGCATGCCAGGCATGCAGACTGGTATACCTATAGCAAGGGAAGGGTGAGCATGCCACCTTTTTCTAGTTTGACTATTTTTGGTTAGGGGGATGCACTGGGGTCCCAGCGTGCATTTTTGGTTGCTGGGCCCCCAGTGCGTCCCTGCACCTTATTAGGAGGAGTAGGCTACCTCCAGGTACACCTGCATGCAATCTATCGACTTCATTAATATGCTCACACTGTGAGACTCAGATACATAGAGTTAGGAACACACTTTGCAGAGGTGCCTTGGCGCGGCAGTGTGGCTTCTACATATTTTTGGCCAAAAGTTTGTGCAACTAAAACCTCTGATTTTAACGCATACTGTTGACAGGGCTACTTGTTTGGTTGCAGGCTGGCTGGCAGGTTGGGGCTGGGGAATTTTTGTGTTTTGTATTGTTGTAAGCCTTCCCATTGTGCTCCCTGCTATAAAGGCTGGTTATGGATTCATGCATGTACCACTTTTTTCTAGTTCTTTTTTCTAGTGAGCATGCACCCTCCTGCTATACTGATACCAGCCCACCAGCATTGGCAGAGTGCTTTGAGAGGAGTTCCTCTTTCAATTCAAATGAGTGGCAAAGTACAAAGAACAGACAGAAACAGCAGCCATATGGCCACTGAGTGGAGAGTGAGACAACAGAGAGGTGACAGGAATGGTTTGATGGGGGCAAACTTTTACACAGGGCACTTATGTGTTAGTCACTGTGTTCTTCTTGTTTCTATTTCTGTCTTACTTCAAGGTGTAACAGTGCAATATTTACCAGCTTGAATGCAGGTGGCACTCTTCTGCCTTTTCTCTTTAACTTTCTTGTATCTTCTCGCTCCGAGCCATCCTTTGGTATAGGCTTGCATCACCACTACTCGTCCGATGACTTCTCGCAAAAGGAGATTTAATAGTTCTACATGGTAATATTTCAAGAACACCTTCAAATGAAAGGAATGCTGTGAAACACAACAGCTATTGTTTGGTTTTCATAAAACAGCTACAGTAATAGAAACATAAAGAAAGAAATATTATCCGGCTAAAGATACAGCATGGAGTGTGTTAGTAGGTGAGTCATCTTCCAGCTTTACTCTTTTCTCAGTCTGTGCTGGTATGGTCACCTAAGGGCAACAGTGGGCAAACCCCGGCCCTCCAGCTATGGTGGAACTACAAATCCCATGAGGCATTGCAAGATTCTCACAGCCACGACTCCCAGAGACAGATGCATCATGGAATTTGTAGTTTCAAAACAGCTGGAGGGCATACCCTGCCTTAGTGGATGATCTATAAATCATCTGCCCAGCCATATGCTGGCCGAATGCTGTAGGCTCCATCGAGTGGCAAGAATGCCGCGTGACCGGAATTCGTCCAGTGTATGTCCAGGGATTATTTATAAATCATCCCCTAAGTGTTGTGTAACTGTTTTGATTACTGCTTTGGTAATACTAGTTATTGGCACCCCAAACATGGCTGAGCAAATGTGCGAAAATGCGCCCACATGTGCAGGAAAAAATGCAGGATGTATGTTGCAGATTTTGATACATGAGCTTCTTTCCCACATTCCTTTCATGTTCAGGAAACCATTAATTGTGATGCGCAGCAAGCACGGGGAAAAACGCATGCAAAAGCAACATGCATTCCTGGTACACCTAGATATGAACAGGGACTAAGGGCCTATTTACACTAAATGCATGAGGATCTGTGCACTTAATGCACGCTATTTCATGGTACACTAGGTACGATGCAGTGTAATGTTGCTATTTCTCCTCAATGGCACCCCAATGTACCTCCCAGCAGCCGTGCATTGCAGCACTGTGCATCACACAGTACCAAATTAATTTGCAATGCTGTGGAGCGAAAAAAGTAATGCTTTTTTGTGGTTCTGCTACCACGTGTTGCTGCGATGCATGCCCGCTGACAGGTGAACTGGGGTGCCATGGGAATCAATGCAGCGAAACACGCTAGCGCACCCACCGTACGGTACACTTTGTGATAGTGTGCTGTGTGATAGTGCATGCATTTATTGTGACGCAACAGTGTGACAATATACTTTGCCTTTCATTTACTCCTTCCTAGCTCAGTCTGATCTTTGGCAACAGGGAAATGAGCTCATCAGTATTGCCAGTAGTATTTTTAAGTCTTACCTTACTTTTTCCAAGAACCCAGTTGTCAAGCCTGGCCTTGTCTAGAATGGCAGTACAACTCTCTTTTGTGGCAGGGGGATTTTGATGTGCTTTGAAGGCAAGATAATAGTACCTTGAAAAGAGAAGAAAAGACTTATTAAAGCCGAACCCTGGGCACACAGCTAAATACACGTCATCTCTCTTAGCAGCCAGTGATGTGCAATCACTTTTGTGATTCATACACCTCTACCAGGCAGCACAGGCAGGTGGGTTACATCACATTCTGTTGTAAATATTAAGCAGAACTCCTGGGATAAATATAATATTAACCCTTGCAGTGGAGTTACCCCCCCCCCCCCCTCCATTTCCGTCTGGGGCTGAAAATAAACTTAAACTCACCAGTCCTTCCAGCATCTCTCCCCCTCTACTGCAGTGGTCTATGAGTCATACGCCTGATACACTGTGTATTCAACATGAGGAGACCGTGGGACCTAATAGGTATAAAACCTGCAATCGTAAGGAACCACCAAAGGAACCCCGGTGCTTGATAAAGCTTCTATGGCTACGACTAAGGCCCAGTGTAGGATCCGAAGCGCATTAGCATTTGTTTGTTGGCTTTACTGGGCGATATGGAGACAAGAGGGTAGAGCTGCTCGATGTTTCTCAATTACTGAGGGACATATCATCGCTGCAGCGTATGAGGAGACATGATGGAGGGAGCTTCGAGGTTCAAGAGTATAACTTTTATTTTAGTCCGTAGACAAAAATGAGCAGTTAATCCTTTGCAGTGCTGGCGTAGTCCCACTGCAATGGTTAATGATATTTTTCTTCTTTAAAGAATACAGTGATGTAATCTACCTATCAGCAGCCTGCTGGCTGGACGACGAAGGAGCAGCAACACTGAAAAATCATTAACTCTACTAACTCTGCTCTCTTCTCCTGTCAGCAAGTCTACTTGCAGCAGAGCCTGATTGGCTCCTTGTACCGCCCCCTCTCTCAGTCTGAGTACTGCTGTGCAAGTGATGACATGGGACTGATATCAAGGCACTTTCATGATCTTATGGTGGTTTTATGCAAATATACTTTTAATTTTTATTAAATAGTATACAATAGGGATGTTCAGATACCAAGTACCGTACTCGGTACAAGTACAAGTACTGATACTTTTCCAGCTCCAAGACTAGACCAGGGAAAAATTCAAAAGTTAGGAGTCAGCTGTCATGTGTCAGGAGCACACGGAGTTCCTGGGATTTATACATCTCTGTTTTAATGTATGATTTTGTTTTTATAAACATATATAAAGGATGCACCGATACCAGTTTTCCAAGTACAAGTACCGATACTCGCCCAATTACTCACAGATACGAGTACTGATACAATTTTGTGTATTGTCATGTGACAGTTTTTCTAAAACAATACAGACTAAAGATTTCAGGACAGTGGTGGAGCGTGAGAGCCAGGTCCCAGCTGCAACCTCTGCAACCCTGGTAGTTCTTGTGAAAATGGCAAGTATCGGCACTGGTATCTGAACTGGTATCTGGACATCCCTAATATACAACTGCATTAAATGGTGTTTTATTTGACGTCTGCTCAGAGTTCAGCTTGAACGTAAACAATGGAGGAGCCATCGTTTTACCAAATAACATACAAAAATATCAGGAGCAATGGACAAGGTATCTTTTCTGCCGGTCCTCTGTTTTGAAAGTGAATGTAAGCAGAGGCAAAAGCCATTTTGTAAGCTTAACCATCTTTGCCACGAACACAACACATAATTTCACCAGTGATTTGATTCATGGGTGCTGATCCATGATATGGATTGCCTGTCACTCATATAATTGCTACTGCCACCTTGATGTGCTAATCACTAATCTATAGTTTCCTGCAATAAATCCACACATAACTTAGTGTTCTCCATGGATTTGATATAGCGCAGAGGTGTCACATTTAAGTCAATTGAGAAAGCACTCCTCCACTAAGCACTGTTTGCATCGAAACTGACCATATCACTTTTATTGGGTTTCCAATGCTAAAACCATCATAAACATTTGACTAATAAAAAAAACAGGACAAGTCACCACTCCTCTTAAAGTGACATTAAACCCTCAGATTTTTTTAACATAAACCAATACTGTAATGTGTGCCTTACTGTAATCCATGGTAGTTTCCCTTCTCTTTGCTGCTCTTCCTTTTAAATCCTCATGTCTTCTCATGCTTGGGGAGAACTTCCCTTTGCAGTTCAGTGCTTCTTCCTGTAGTGCTGGCTCAGGTTACAAACCTATACAAACCTATACTAAGACACCATATATCTATTCCTGAGACAAGGCAGTCTGCTGCAAAACAGAAGTTCTGCCCAGCATGAGAACAGATACATATTTAAAAGGAAGAGCAGCAAAGAGAAGGGAAACTACCATGGATTACAGTACGGCGCACATTACAGTATTGTTTTATGTTAAAAAATCTGAGGGTTTAATGTCACTTTAAGCATGTCAAAGCTAAGCGGGTCTGAATCAAGTCAACATCAAAAATTCTGTGCTGCCACGGTGTAGAGTTTTCTTTCCTGTGCAGTCATGTACGGTTCCTGTAAGAACAGCCCAGACAGGGGGACTTGGTTAGGCTGCTGTAGGTATGTGCACCTCTAGGTGCCCACACTTTATATCTACTGCAGACATTTTCCAGGACAAAGTCTCTTTAAGATAATAAACATGACCTCATTGCTGTGATGCTATTTCTCCCACACCAGCACTGTATCTGTATTTTTGGTCACAATGGTCTTTCTGGCATGTAATTGCAGCTTTATATGCTTAGCAACAGATGCATTGCACATAAGTAGCTTTATTTTTGGCTTTATAATGTGACCTATAGCAACCAGTTATCAACCATCTTTCATTGATCTCACCGCTTATAAAAATCTGATTGGTTGCTATGGGTTACTGCTCTTTGCACTGCCCTATAAAACAAGCCAATTTTTCTATTTCTGTTGCCCCAATTTCCATATTTATTATCATTGTACTTAAAATTCCTGTTTATTCATTCTTAGACAAATCTTCTGATCAGCCATTCTTCACTTCTGTTTTTGCAACAGAGACACAGGATGAGACCTTGCTGAATTTGCACACATTATTTGCTGTGCTCAGAGCCATAATTGCAGCTTTGAAAGGGTTCCTTTAAATGAAATATTGGGAATAGATAAATACATTAGCCGGTGATCCATGAAATTCTTCAAATATTCAGAAGAGCAGATCAAATGCTAAACAGATTGGCACTTCTTTGTTCATATTCAAAAACCCATTAGGCAAGAAAGAACAAGAGTCGCTGCCTTATGGAAAATCTCAGGCTATGAAAGATCCTTAAGCCTGCAACTTAATTGCTACTTTGATCCTTTTTAGTCCGGTATAAACAAAATAGATGAGCTAGCAGGTTTCCTTTCCTGCTGGTATCTTTAAACAATGCTTATACGACAGTTGTGTTTCATAAACTACTAATATGACATCTGAGGATAGAATGGTGAAGAATACAGAAAAGCAATGATTAAGAGACGGGGATAAAGTTAACTATGGGTGTTATTGTAAGACTTGGATAAAACTAAGTATGGGTCTTAGGCTGTTTTATCATTACCCAGGTCTTTTTTTTAGTATGAGGTAGTTATTTTATGTCTGGTGCCCAACTGGTGCTGCCAGTGATGTCATCTTACACATGGATATCGTGAGATGTGCAAGATGAACACGTTTCAGCTAATCAGAGATGTCCAACCTTTGATGGCCACTGCTGAAAGATAAATATTACTGTTTCAATGTGTCCAATATGACTGTTAAGTTTCAGGGTCATGACATAGCTAATAGCAGTTGGCCACTTTCAAGGTCAATCATCCCATCACCTTTAGCACAAGGGCGTAGCAGAACATAAGAGCAGCCTAGTCATCCCATATGTGGCTAGAGAGAGAATAACAATCAGGAGGTTTTTTTCCAAACATCCGCTCAGTTTTCCAAACCTATCAATACACTGAGACAAAAGATTGTACATCCAAACACAAGTGAAGTAACTTGGTATTTACATTCCATTGTAGTTCTAATGAGGAATGCAAAGACCTGTAGATTGGGAAAACAAAACAACCTCTCAACAAAAGAGGAGGATAAATTATATAGATCAGGACTCAGCAGTGTTCATATAAAAACAGAAACTTGGAAACTCTTTCAAGGACACTGAGGTACACATTTTGGACAGAGACGACAACTGGTTCCCAATAGATTTGAAAGTGGCCATCTATGTAAAACTGGAACAATCATTTCTAAAATTGGGTGGGGGCCTTTGACACCATCCATCACCCACATATAAGGCCATTTTAACATCTCTACCGTGGCAATTTGACAACATTTCACACCTTCAGTCATGAAGATTATTTAATTAGAACAACGTGGTTTCACAAACATTCAAACTTTCCATCATGTTTTTGGACAATTAACATCTCCCTTAGGGCATGTTCACACCAGCAGTCCCGACCAACTGCACAGCTGCTAGTGTGCATGTGCCATACAGTGCCAATGCGCTTGATCGAGCTGCATCACACTGGGTTGTTTTTTTAGAACTTTATTAAAATGTCATAAGTGACTTTTCATTAAGTTCTATGGGCTCACTGCGTCACACTGCAGTGCACTTAAAAAAAGTACGGCATGCCGTACTTTTTTTAAGTGCACACCACCCCTACACAGTGGTATGACCTGTCCTCATCCATGACAAGGAAAATGGGATGGGATGCAGATATACTCACCTAATCCTCTATGCCTGTTGACAGCTAGACTAGCCCCTAAAGCCTCACTCCCCCTCTTCTCTATTGGTCTAAGGTCCTGTGAGTCATCAAATCCTATAAAGTGTATTGGACATGATGACTCCCCCGAGGGACATTCCATCGCTGGAGCAGAGGAAGAAGCGGGTTGCAGTGACCAGTCTAGCAACCAGGCGGCTTTGAGGTTCAGGTGAGTATATCTTTATAATTTTCATCCCTAGACGAAAACAAGCGCTTAACCCTTGAGGTGCGGGAGTAACCCCGCTGCAACGGTTAAGTATATTTCTGCCTGGAGTTCTCCTCTAAAACATTCCATGGTGACTGGATTAAGGTGAGTTACCCATGTGGCTATAAATGCTGGAGTATGTTCCTGACACTCATTAATGCTGAAAAAGCTGATTGGATAGCAGGGAAATGTCTTTAAAATGAAAGAACAAGTCCAGTTAAATCTGACTACTACTACTAGCATTACTGTTCCAACAGTAGTGAAATAAGTGGACATACCAGATGCACAAATTATTCAGTAATTTTCTGGCTACTTTCACTAATCTGTATCCACCCCTTGAGCTATGTAAATTGAAATAAACCCTTATTTAGCAATAAGGTAGTTTTAAATCTGCTTGGTAGCATTGATATTTAACACACAGTGACCTAATACTATACAGACTACAGTCTTGAATAGTCCACCAAAATGTGTCCAACTCAGTGAACTTATGTCAATATATATATGAACTTAGGCCAATATGTCATTGGCCTTCCACTACACAGGATATTCCCCCCTTCAGTCTATCATGAATGCAGCTGCCAGACTCATTCACCTTACCAACCGCTCAGTGTCTGCATCCCCCCTCTGCCAATCCCTCCACTGGCTTCCACTCGCCCAGAGGATAAAATTCAAAATATTAACAGTCACATATAAAGCCATCCACAACTCCGCCCCCGGATATATCTCAGACCTTGTCTCAAAGTATCACCCTAACCGTCCCCTCCGCTCATTCATTGACCTCCTGCTTTCCAGCTCCCTTGTCCACTCCTCCCATACTCGCCTCCAGGACTTCTCTAGAGTCTCTCCCATCCTCTGGAACTCCTTACCCCAACCTGTCCGTCTATCTCCCACCTTGACTGCCTTTAGGCGTTCCCTAAAGACTCATCTCTTCAGGGAAGCCTATCCCACCTCAACCTAACCACTGAACCTTCACATTCTCACATAATTCATTCCCACAGCTACCTCATGTATCATTTCCCCCTCCTCTTTTAGATTGTAAGCCCTCAGGGGCAGGGCCCTCCTTACCATCTTGTCTTGAATTGTATTGTAACGGTAATGTCTTCCTTATATTGTAAAGCGCTGCACAAACTGTTGGCGCTATATAAATACTATGTAATAATAATATACAGTAACCTCTCATTTCACTACAATAAACTGATATCCAATTGTCTGCTAGGGATGGGTAAAACTGAGGTTTTGTCAGCAAAAATGCAAAGGTTTGGTAAAAAGAAAAGAAGAAACAGAGTGGGCAAAAAAGATAAAAGCAATAGTACACAAATAACCGTCCTTTCACGTCTTCCATTAAATCATACCACACAATTATTACCTTTTCTATCACTTGTCCCTCCTACTAGATTGTAAGCCCTCACGAGCAGGGCCCTCCAAACCCTCCTTTATTGAAACTGTATTGTAACTGTACTGTATCCCTTTATTTTATAAAGCACTGCGCAAATTTTGGGCTATGGAAATCCTGAATAATAATAGTGACCAAATACACATAAAAAAAAGAACAAAGACATATCCAACCACCATGCATTTCTTCTTGGCTGTTTGCTACAGCCTTGTTTCTGATAATATGAAGCTGCTAACATGTGTTCTTATGTACATACAGTACATGTAGAATGTAATGATAGTACAACACAAAATGACACAAAGCTATGCTTTAATCAAATGTCTATTATCAAGTAGAGGTTCAGCAGTATATTAGTAGTAGTAGAATATCTTCATTATATTATTACAGTTCTACACGTCTATGTGTTGCAGATTCTTACTTTATGTACTAGACTTGTACCTTTTTAAAAACTCTTCAAATAAAATGCGGTGAGAATATCCTTGTCTCCGGATGTTAACAGTCTCCAGAATGCCTGTATAACGCAGTTGCATAAGCACTCGATCCCTTGAGAACTTCATCGCTTCTCGATCATCATTCGGTTTGATGCAGCGCACAAAGTGGGGCTGTCCAACCACCATTTTTGACAAAAGATCCATTAAGGAGTACTAAACAAAAACAAGCCCAAAACATTGGAATACATAAGTAAAATGATAAGATTGTAATGTATATGTGAACCCACCCAATTTAGTGCCATCTTTTCTATGTAAACCCAATTGCTAAAATGTTACATAATCATTACCATATTAATGTCATTTCAAAAAATTATTTTAAAGATATTTCATTATGCAGATTTCATTAAAAGATAACTTGGTGATTCTACCATAAAGATCCTTGTGCACTTCATGTTATTGGGTGAAAACATTCTGTCACTGTCTCCCAGTTGTTCTCTTGCATTGTCACTCTGTCAAATGCTCTTTCCATGGAGACTACAAGTGGCCAAGTTTGCCAACCTTACACAGGCATGTACCACTGTTGTCACCACAAGAAAACCACTAATTCCACACCATATGCACCCCACATAGCACTTAAAAAATAAAGAAATTCAATGAGGTCAGTTCACACCAGTGCGCTGTGTTGCGTAGAGATGTGCTAAAAAAAGTAAAGCATGCTCTATTTTTTTCAGCTTACAGCATTACAACGCGCATCAAAGTGCGCAACCGGGCATTTGTGCAATGCAACACGCAAAAAAAAGCATATGAAAAGAATAAGAAGGATATGACCTCACAGGGAATGTTAAAAAAAAATGCAGATTACAATGCATGTTGCAAACTCAGCTCAATGCACCTGTGTTAGGACATGCAAAATGGTGTGGAAGACCCTAAAAAAGACATGCAGTTATCACTAGAGTGCATGCGTTCATGTGGACAGAATGCAGCTGCAGGGAGACTGCAGAACAACAGTGCTGATATGCAACAAAGAATGTGAAAACAGCATTATATTTATAAAACATGACTATTGTTTATTATACAAAGTGATGCCATTCAGTTCAGCTACTTTAATTGTGTAACTTTATAACAAGTACAAATTTGGGCATAAACTATTCATAGAGCAGAATAAAACAAAGGCAGTGTGTAAATATATTTATTGACATTTTAATGTCTGTGACACAATGCTACTTTTAAACAATCCTAATACATAAAACCAGTATCCTTCTCAAATAAATTAGTGTCACATAATATAAATGTTATTTCCAAAGCTCTAGGGAGTTTAATTAACTAAATTAAAGCAATGCAATTTTTCCTCCATCTGAAATTGCATGTTTAGGCTAAATTGATTTACGTATGCCTGTGTGACATCTTTACAAATGGTTTAACTAATGCAAGGCTTACATTGTCTAATACAAATGGGACTGCAAACATTTACTACTGAATATACCTGTGAAAAACATACCGTATATACTCGAGTATAAGCCGAGATTTTCAGCCCATTTTTTTGGGTGAAAAGTGCCCCCCTCGGCTTATACTCGAGTCAGCGTTTACGGTAAATGGCAGATAGGTACAGTTTGTGTTGGCACATTTTAAAATGCAATTGTGTTTTTAAAATTGTTAAAATTATAGTTTGCATAATTTCCATGTGTTTATTTTGCTCTTGGGCTGATTCATAACAACTGGTGAAAAGAGGTACAGAATTGGAATGGTTACTAAAAGCAACCAATCAGGTTTCACCTTTCATTTTAATAAAACAATTTACAAGAATTCCAATTAGCCTGTTATTAACAAACTCAATTTTTTCATTAAAGTGCATGAAAAATAAAAAAAATATACATTTGGTTTGACCATTTGAGATTAGATACACATCAGCAGGACATAAGCTTACCCTAAAATATGAAGCCACTGTTTGCCTTTTCATATTGGTTGTTTCTTCTGGATGTCTCATCATTTCCATAGTGTCTACCTAAATTCAAATATAAATACATATTTATATAATGTGCTCAAATATTATAGCTAGGTTTGACTTTCCCGATCTAACACTTAGAGCAAATACATGTGAAGTCTATCTATCTGTGGTCTATAGAATCCAAAACTTCCTGGTTCAAAAAGTTTAATAAAGCACAATGCATAAGCATTATAAGAAGTAGGACTTTAAGAAATCTATTACACTCACAGAAAGAATTTCAGCAGTATGAAATAGAATGTAAAATGTATTTCTAATGAGCTACAGCTAGACATGCACAAGTGGATGTTTCTGTCATCTCCTATATTGCCATACTGCCTTGTCCTGCTGTCATCATCTCTATAAATCAGTAACTGAATGTAGATTATGTGTAGTTAAATACCACACATTATATACTGTTAAAGATTAGTCTTTCTTTCAAAAAATAAGGTTAACACTCTATATTATATATTTTCTTCATCATTCATGTCTCCAAATCTTCAGGTTTAATGATCTTACAACAATTGAGACCAGTGGGTTTAGGAGACAGGAGCTACATCAACTTGTGCTCCAAAGAAAGTCAAGACAACTTCAGATCAGGTTCAAAGAGTAAGCTGGCCCCCCACAATTTCATTAAAGGAGTTTTCTAGTAGTAGTTACTAGTAGTTACTAGTAGTTGTGAAAAGTCTTTAAACATTTAGTGGAGGAGGATTTGAGATCCTTGGAATTTAAACATATGAAAAACAAAATGCATATTAATACAGGTATAAAATCCCTGGAGGATAGAAAGGACATTGTGATTAGACCAGCGGACAAGGGAGGGGGGGTAGTTGTGCTGAGTAGAGAATTTTATGAGGAGGAAATGTTAAATATTTTACAAACTAAAGATACATACAAATTACTAAAAAAGAACCCAGTATATGAATATAAAAAAGAGTTAGTATTACTTATTAACAGAGGATATAGAAAGGAGTTATTAACCAAGAAAGAAAGAAACTATCTCATACCATCAACATGTAGAACACCGGTAATATACTTTCTACCAAAGATTCATAAAGACAAACAAAAACCCCCGGGGAGACCAATTATCAGTGGCATAGGCTCTTTAACGGCTAGACTAGGTGAATACATTGATCACTTTTTGCAACCTTTGGTATGCAAAACTGAGGCTTATATCAAGGATAGCAGAGATGTGCTCAATATTATTAATGGATTAGATTTGAAGGAGGACACAATCATGGCCACGATTGATGTCACTTCCCTATACACAAGTATACCCCACCAGAACGGCCTAGAAACAATTAATTTAGAACTACAGGGAAAAGCCATAACCCCATAGTTCTCCTTTAAGACTCATCTCTTCAGGGAAGCCTATCCCACCTCAACCTAACTACTCAACCATCACGTTCTCAAACAATTCATCCCCACACAGCTACCTCCTCATGTATCACTTGCCCCTCCCTTTTAGATTGTAAGCCCTCTTGAACTGTATTGTGATTGTAATGTCTTCTTTATATTGTAAAGCGCTGCACAAACTGTTTTCGCTATATAAATCCTGTATAATCATATTAATAACACTTATATTGACCTTAATACGCCCAGCATTTAATTGAGGTGGTAGGGATCTCGAAGCTGCTGTCACCCGTGCTCTTGATTGAGCCAAGTTACCTGCAGAAAAAAAAAGATGATTTATTTATTCTATTCATTTATTTGGTCCCAGAAATAGTGCAGCACTTTGCACCCATAGGAACTTGCAATCTAATGTCTCCCATTGCAGTTACCCCTGTAAAAATACATGCATTAAGGACTATTTTGGGTAAAAAAACAATTAGGCTACTGATATACTTTTTGGTGTTGTAGGAGGAAACAGGAACGCTTTGAAGAAACCTTTACAAACATGGGAAGAACATACAAACTCCATGCAGTTAGTGCCCTTGTAAAGAATTAGACCTAGGAACACAACAACATAAAGAAAGAGTGCTGAACTCTTATGCTGGCCATACATGTGGCAATTGTGCAGCAATTTGTAAACTTTCTATCAGTTTTAACTTGAGAAAAACAATAGAACTGAACAGCCCAGAGTAATTTGCCAACCACAGTTTCAATTGTTTCCAGGTTTTGTGTGGTCAAAGTTTGCACCCTTACTAGGTACATACTAAGTAATAGGTGCTACAACTTACTCCGGTGCTATTTCTCACAGCCTTATATTTACAAGCATGGGCAGTAAAGAATTAACTATAGTTTATGATTTTGTGTATTCCTTATTGTTTCAAAAACTCATATTTTGGTACAGGCAAAGTTTGGTTATACAATATATCACAGGGAGGGTGCAAAGGATCTGATGTATGTAAAATGTAAAGTTTGTAAAAATTCTTCTTGTCCAAAGTAGACAATTAGCTTCCAACGGTCATTTTTGCAGCTCTGTTTTAAAGATTAATCAGGGAATCTGGATGCTTTTGGCAACACAATTTAAAAAAAAAAATACTTTATTAGACTTTTCATACATCAGGCTTTTTTTTGCAAATAATTTTTTTAAGCAGTAAATGTTTATTAAGGTTTTCATAATGCAGAGCAGAGGGAAAGCATTGAGAAAGGCAGGATCACATCATGACATACAATAAGGTTTACAATGTAGCAAATAAGCAATTATGGTCAGGCTGGTGAAGATCATGTAGAACAATAAAGCACTTTACATATATCCTGCGTGAATGTCATTGAGGAACACACACCCTCTATATACTTGGGGGATAGAGTGTCACTGAGCGATCTGAAGGAAAGCAGGTAGGTAGGTCAAGGTGGGGTAAGTAGGGAAAGAGTTTAGAGAGGTAGTCTAAAGCAAGGTACAAGATAAGAGAAGACAGAAATATAAGAGTAAGAGGGAGAAAAGAGTCCAAATGAGGGAAATAGACAATGCCGGCTGTGTAAGAATGTACTGAGGTGGTCAATATCTCTCGAGTCCGAGTAGAGCCCAAGGAGCCTACCCAGGCTTTTTTGCATATTGTATTGCAAACATGATCCACTGAATAGAATCTATGTACTCTTTGAGGTTACTAAGGCCCAAAGCAAAGATATGGTCTAAGCAGTGTTCTGCAGTTGTAATCTATAGAATATGATAGAAACAAAAGTCAATATTATAAACATTTGTCCCGCACTCTGTGGTAGTAGATCATTACACAAGTAACAAAAGACACGCATGGGCAAGACCTGTACTGAAGTTATTGTCAACATTCTATGTCTATCCTGAGACACTGGAGAAAGCTCACTGAGCCTAAATGGTTATACAACACTATAACATAACATGTTTCCTAAATTGACCTCTAATGGAAAAAATTAGCTGTGCATGTAATGGGTCTTATTTTGTAACATGGTACAAAGATGTACACAGGGCCATCCCTATAATGAGGTGGCATCTCTTAGGGTCACAGGAAGGGGGGGGGGGGGTGTAGGCAGAGCGGCATGGTCACTCTGCTGCGCAATGTTTTTCCCCTTTCCAGCCAGAGTGTCCCAGGTTGCTGCGAGCCTAGCAGGGAGATGTGTAAGGGCCATACACATCTCCCCACCCAGCTCTTAGCAACCTTGGATGCTCTGGCCAGTGCCCTGCCCAGCCCAGCTCTCGACAACCAGTGACATTATTGATCGCCAAGAGTTGGACGGGCCAGAGCAGCGGCGTTACTCCTGCACACCTATCTGCCTCAGGCGGCAAAAAGGATCGGGACAACCCTGGGTGTGCAGAAACATGTTGTAACCATTTAGATATTACCTTTTAGGTTTAGTGTAATCAGAACAGTTAATGATGACATCTGATTGTTTTCTGTAGATTACAACAAATTGGCATTCCTAAGCAATGCAAAGTCACAAAGTTACTGAATGTTCTTTTATGTGAAAAAAAATCAGAAAGGTAAAATAGACCATATGTGTTTCTACGTTTGCAAGTATTTTGGCACTGAAGTAAACTGATGCTCATTGGTCTGAGACCAACCAACACCATATGTAATAGCATGTTTACAGAAGACGATTAATAATAGGAGCTGAAAAAATGCTGCTTATGCAAATGCAAAGTCTTAATATTTAGAATAAACTAAATCCAAACATAGAAAAAAAACAACTTAATTGCGTCCATTTATGGAAATTTTAATATCAAATTATTTGAATGGTCCATTTTTAATATAGACAAAAACAACCTAACCTTTAGTCCAGCCCCAGAGTACATATTGCTGCATTAGCCAGCAGCCTGTAACACTACATTCCAAAACCAGTAGTAATTTATCTTTGAATTGTATAAATGTCTCTATGATTTATAAGTCTAAATTCTGAAGTCTATATCACCTGTTGTGACATTTAAGTTTTTAAACTTGAAGGGCTACAGGTCTCCTTGAGAACACACCACGATATGTACTTTCAAGATATCTTCTGGAGCACCCCAGGACCCTTGAATCCCAGAGTGTTCTATTATGCATGTCTGTCTTCCTAGGATCCCTCAGCCACTTTTGATCAGTGAGGACGCCCATCATAATTATGGACCAATGGAGAAGTACAGGAAATGGAGGGCCTATGCTTAGATTCTGGAGTTGAAGTTAATATTTGCATAAAGTTACAGTGGGTCCCAGAATTTGGGACTCTCAAAAGGTACAGTTAAGCACCTTCCAATGCCTGTTTGTCATGCTATCAGTTTAAGAGGGTGAATGTCATGACAGGTTTACTTTACTTTTTAGACTGAACTGAAATGTTTAGATGTGTCTGGAGTTCTTCTTTAAATAGAGCACAGTGTCTGCGTTGTCTTCCACTAATTTCAGTTCCACCCCCAGCCTGGCCGTATCATGATGAATCTCCTTGTAAAATAACTATTTACAGAAATATGAGTGACCTTACCCTGAAGAGGAAGTATTGTGCTGAATTCATCTGTTAGATATCCAAGTATATTCTAAAGTTTGTAAGAAGTTTAACACAAGATGTCCAAATGTTTTCCCTGGCTATAGCTTCAGAGGCTACGCTGTGATTAATAGCATTGTGAGAAGCCTTTGAAGCAGGATTGGTGACATCAAAGTCCTAATTCTTGGGTGGCAGGATTTTTATAATGAATAGGAAGCACTTTAACACGTTTCAAAAGGATTTAAAACATGAATAAACAATAGAATTATGCAGATGTACTGCACACCTTGCCATAACAGACCTCAGATTATATATGAATTTATTTAAATGGAGTATGTTAATACTCTGCAACGCTGAATATTTAGACACGTGCAAAGAACCATTAAATGAGTGCCTAATTGTGTAGGTTATATAACAGCTGTTACAAACACAGTAAGTAAGGTTGACAAAAATGAAAAGAATCAAGTTCAACCTCTTGTGATTCTACTACTGTTGTAGTACTGAGTTCACAGTAAGGCAAAGGAAAACCCTAGTGAAGCAGCTACCAATTTATCCTCACAATGGGGGAAATCTAGAATTCAGTGATCAATTATCACATTAATTAACCATGGCAATTATAGCTAAAGAAGTCCTTTCTGGTAAGAAAGACATGCAGTCCATATTTCCGTTCCCTAATGCTGTTGACTATTACCATCTGCTTTGGCAGGGAATTCCAAAAGTGTGATCACCCTTAAGGTTAAAGTATATGTAAACCCAATCGCTAAAATCTCATATAAGCTTTAACATGCTCATGTAACTTCAAAAGTCATTTTGCAGTTTTTTGTTTTTTAAAAAAATCTGCTGCATTAAAATAATACCTGCTGATCCTGCCATTGAGTTGCTTGTTCGGCCACTTCCTGTTATAGGATGACAACTCTCTGTCCTTGTCTCACAGTTCTCTTCCTGCCTTGTCACCATGTCAAACAGGCTTCAGATGTAGCCCGCAACTGGATGTTTCAACACATATTACTGAGGCATGGTGCACTATTGCCACCATCAGAGAGCCCACAGTGAGCAATGACATGCAGCTATTGACTGAGTATGTAATCATTATTAGAAGACATGTACGGTTCGTTTAGTTCCGAATCGAAATTGGGACAAATGTTCCGAAATTTCTGATCCCAATGCCACTTGAATGTGTCCGAATACGAATTTCGGATGCGTCCGAATTTCCGTCAAAAACAAAACTGAATCGGACATGTGACTTTTCTGGCCAATCAGATGTGTTTTTTGGTTTAATGTATACGAATGGGTCTGAACACGAAATTGTCTTTACGGCAACATGGGAGCTGTGTACAGTATATACATATATTACTAAAGCTGAGGCTCCTAGACCCGAATGGCATTTGGGATCCCAATTTCTGAATTGCATTCGGGAGCACACGAATGCCATTCAGGTCTGGGAGCCTCAGATTTAGATATATATGTATATGGCTCCCAGACCCGAATGGCATTCGGGAGCTCCCAAATGCAATTCGGAAATTTGGATCCCGGATGCCATTCGGGTATAGGAGATTCAGCTTTATTATTAATATCTGTATATGGTTTTCTGTGGTAGTTGCAGCGAATATTCGTATGTAAACTCATCCAAAACGAATAAAATTTGGATTTCGTCCAAATCCGAAACCCAAACCGAATCCCAAATCACGAAATAACGAAATATCCGAACCGAATTTTACCACAGGTTACATGTCTAATGATTAGATGTAGCTCTTGTAGTTAACCCCTCCTCCACTGTCATTTGGCCAGGCCCCCTGCTG